CGAGCCCGGCTGCGGCTCCACAACGCGCTTGACCAGCGCTCAGGAGCACGGACAGGGCTCCTCCTCCTCCCCAAGGCATCACGCGCAGCCAGAGGCTCCCAGACACTCCCCCCCGCCCCTGCCAGGCTTCAGTTGGGCGCGTAGCCGGAAAACCAGAGGATACCGGACATTGCACTTCGCCGGTATTTTCGGAATTTTTTTCCCAGACAGAGGGCCCAGAAACCGGACTGTCCGGTTGAATCCCAGACACCTGGCAACCCTACTCACCCCCAACCCTCAGCGATCTCCTGGGGGGTGCTCCCACGTGGCCCCTCTGCAGCATGTCCCGCAGCAGGCTAGGCCTTTGGCACATGGCCCGTGTTAAAAGGGCAGCCCGAAAGGTCCCACGTGTGGGCTGTGTGCTTAGCTGAACCAGGGTGGGGACTGGCTGGCTTATGGGGGGGGGGCTGGAGCTGTTCCCTCTAGGGAGCACAACAGCCGCATGCCGTTCATCGGAAGCTGGTGCGGGCTGACCACCTCTTGTACCCGCTGGGCCTGCTGCTGTTGTGGTGGGGGGGGTGCTTTTCCAGCATCCACTTCAAGAGCTTTTCCATGTCCATCCTGCCAAAGGTCGTGGGGACGGGGCGGCCTCCCGAGGCTTCAGACACAATATTACTTTTCCGCGTGCTTGTCCCACCATTTGTCCTGTGCTAGGTTTGGGGGGGGTGCAATATCCCCTGGCCTTTATGGAAACATGCTCATGACTAGGGATGTAACTGGGAGATGCTTCCCGGTAAGTGGTTAACCGGTGCCTGGCCCCATTGTGCGGCCCTGCAGGGCCAGCAGCTGGCAAGCCCACAGGGCGGAGTTCATGTCCCGGACACTGACTGGCCGGCAAAGATCGGCCTGCCTGTGGCTCAGAGCTCCACTTTTGCTGACTTTGCTCAGGCCCATGCATCAGGCTCTGTCTGTGTATGTCCCAGAAATCACACAGGTGCTGGGGGGCAGCACGCAAAGCCCAGAAACATTCACCAGCCTCCCCCTGCTGACCCCGGCCCCCTTCTTGGCCTGGCTGGAGAGCCTCCAAGGGGTCTGTCTTTCCCCGACCGTTTGCCATCACTTCCAGCACAGAGCTGCGAATGACCCCTGTCGGCGGCCATCCTGGTAGCAATCGCACTCTCCCGCTGCCCGCTCGTGGTGCATCAGGGCCGGGTCAGCAGGGGAAGGCGGGCAGAGGTGAACGTCCCTGGTGCACAGCCCCTGAGCTGGGCGAAAGCCAGCAGGGAGCCGTTTCAAGAGCTGGCAGAGCCCTGGGGTGCGATAGGACAGTATCTGTTTGATGTTTCAGTTCCTTTCACCCCCAAAGGCCGGTGACCTTTTCGGAGCTCTGTGTGCTCCTCCCCCCGGCCCGCCATCCTGCAGCTGGGTGGTTTCTGGTAAATGAAGAGGCTGGAGCCAGCGTCCCTGAAAGAACTGTACTTTTAGCTTCCAACTGGCTCCTTGGTTTGTTTTTTATTTTTACATCACAAAGCAAACCCACCTATCAAAGTGCCGGAAAAGTGGGTGGGGGGAGAAACTGCTGACCTCAAGGTTCAACTCAATTTGGGGGACAACCAGTGATCAGACAGGAGCAGGGGAGAGGGTCACAAGGCAGAGCCAGGGATTGTGAAAGGGACCCCTGAGCGGAGACCCCTGGACAGCACCCGCCTCAAAGGTGTCAAGGGCTTTGAGCAGACCGCAAGAGTGCGGCCAAGGGGAACTGCCTGGCTGGGCGGTGGGATGGAAGAACGGAAATAGGCCCCTGGTTGCTGGACCCCTCCCCATCTAGCATCCTTCCCTTGCTGCTATCCATGGCTCCTGTCCCTGGGCGCGGTTTGGAACCGAACTGGCTGCAGCTCATGCAGCCATTCCCAGCTGGGAGGGGGCAGGTAGCGGAGGCTCATGGGGCGGGGCTGATAACAAGGTTTGGAAGGTGGGGGTGAGGCAGGCAGGGAGCATCCCCTCACAGAACCTGCTGGAGAAAAGGCAGCCCTGGTCGCGGGAGCACACCCCATAGCGTGAGAGGCGGAGAGCCCAGTGTGCTGACCAAGCGTCATGGAGGGCAGCCAGACCCCCAGCTGGAGTCCAGGGGGTCTCCAATTGAGGAGAGCCCTGCCAGCCCCACGCCCAGCTGGCAATTGTGTTGCTGGGCTCCGCAAAGCAGCTGCCAGGGAGCTAGATGCCGACACCACGTTCCAGGCTCAGAGAAGATGCTGGTAGGAGACCGGCCGTGCAGAGGCCTCACGGAACCCCCCTCGGATGCAGATCCGAGCGGTCGGTCACATCGGAGCCCTTGGGGAGGTGGAGGAAGTTGTCTGCCCTCGTGCTTCGTGCACGGTAAAGGAATCTGTGCAGGGCCTGGAGGCGGAAGACACGGACCTGGCCGCCCTGGCCTCCATCCTCTAGGGGAAGACTCCGAAGCCCTGCAAAGATCCAGTGGAGTCCTGGCCGGCGCGATCAGGGGCCCGTTCGTACGGCACCTGGAGAAAACCCCCAAACCCTGGCCTGAAGCCGAAAGCCTGTGGAATGGCCAGGACACACGTGGTGGTCCCCCTGTCGAACGCCTTCTCTTCCACGAGAGTGAACGACACACCACCCCTAAACCGGAGCTCAAGGAGTTCCCGGACCAAAGAAAGATGGTGACCTTCCTGGCCACGTAGGGCACCAGCTGTATGAGGCAGGCTGCTGGGGAGACGCATGCAGTCACTGACCGGCATTCAGAGCTGCTGGGTGGTGCCGGACAGGTTGACAACCACCAGCCCGAGGAGCACCCGGGCCCAGTTCTCGCTAGGCCTGGGGCTGCTCTCCAGGGCCCTGAGGCAGTGCATGCACAGGAACAGCAGGGCCATGTGGTGTTCCCAGGGGACAGGCATCCCCTGCCACCCCGAGCTGCTCTTCCTGATGGGTCCTCTTGGCCTGGCCGGGAGCCACAAAGCCAGCCCCAGCCTGGGCTCTGCTCCTTGCCCCCCAGCCATACCTGAGGACTCTGCCTGTTTCCTACCCTTTGCCGTCGCTTGCAGAGCTGGGCCTGCCAAGCAAAGCTCATGGAGCCAGACGGCTGCAGAGCTGCGAATGGCCCAGCTCTAGGGTAGCCCCCTACTAGCGATCACGCCATCCCGCGGCGCGCCAAGCGCCGGGGTCAGCAGGGGAAGGCTACCCTGCAATTTCTGGTAAATGCAAGTAAAGGCTGGACGCCAGCGTCCCCGACTAAGGTTTGTACTTGTCTGTGTTCATTGGCAAGGGCTCTGGCCTGCTGCTGCTGTGGTGGGGGGGGTGCTTTTCCAGCATCCACTTCAAGAGCTTTTCCATGTCCATCCTGCCAAAGGTCGTGGGGACGGGGCGGCCTCCCGAGGCTTCAGACACAATATTACTTTTCCGCGTGCTTGTCCCACCATTTGTCCTGTGCTAGGTTTGGGGGGGGTGCAATATCCCCTGGCCTTTATGGAAACATGCTCATGACTAGGGATGTAACTGGGAGATGCTTCCCGGTAAGTGGTTAACCGGTGCCTGGCCCCATTGTGCGGCCCTGCAGGGCCAGCAGCTGGCAAGCCCACAGGGCGGAGTTCATGTCCCGGACACTGACTGGCCGGCAAAGATCGGCCTGCCTGTGGCTCAGAGCTCCACTTTTGCTGACTTTGCTCAGGCCCATGCATCAGGCTCTGTCTGTGTATGTCCCAGAAATCACACAGGTGCTGGGGGGCAGCACGCAAAGCCCAGAAACATTCACCAGCCTCCCCCTGCAGACCCCAGCCCCCTTCTTGGCCTGGCTGGAGAGCCTCCAAGGGGTCTGTCTTTCCCCGACCGTTTGCCATCACTTCCAGCACAGAGCTGCGAATGACCCCTGTCGGCGGCCATCCTGGTAGCAATCGCACTCTCCCGCTGCCCGCTCGTGGTGCATCAGGGCCGGGTCAGCAGGGGAAGGCGGGCAGAGGTGAACGTCCCTGGTGCACAGCCCCTGAGCTGGGCGAAAGCCAGCAGGGAGCCGTTTCAAGAGCTGGCAGAGCCCTGGGGTGCGATAGGACAGTATCTGTTTGATGTTTCAGTTCCTTTCACCCCCAAAGGCCGGTGACCTTTTCGGAGCTCTGTGTGCTCCTCCCCCCGGCCCGCCATCCTGCAGCTGGGTGGTTTCTGGTAAATGAAGAGGCTGGAGCCAGCGTCCCTGAAAGAACTGTACTTTTAGCTTCCAACTGGCTCCTTGGTTTGTTTTTTATTTTTACATCACAAAGCAAACCCACCTATCAAAGTGCCGGAAAAGTGGGTGGGGGGAGAAACTGCTGACCCCAAGGTTCAACTCAATTTGGGGGCAACGAGTGATCAGACAGGAGCAGGGGAGAGGGTCACAAGGCAGAGCCAGGGATTGTGAAAGGGACCCCTGAGCGGAGACCCCTGGACAGCCCCCGCCTCAAAGGTGTCAAGGGGGGAGCAGCAACACACATGCCCCGGGGTGACCTGGCACCCACAAACGCTGGCTTCCCAACACGCTCTTGGCTTTCAATACCACTTCAGGGGTCCTGGCTTCAGGCCCCTGGACCGGAGTCCCCAGGGGCTGCCAATCAGGGCAAACGGCAAAGAAGGGGGCAGACCGTCCCCACTCTGGGGTTGTTTCTCAGAATTCCACTCACCAGCCAGCCAGAGCGCGGCGTCTACAGCCCCGGCCTGGTTGGCAGAAGCCAGCCCCGCTGCTCCCGTCGCCACCCGGCCTTGGGCTCCCACCCAGGCAGCCGAGTCACACGCCGAGTTCCGCGAGTGCCAGCCGCTTGGGCACGTTGCCCTCCGGGGAGTGACTCTTCCAGACCTGCCCCAGGCCCCGCATGCAGCCAGAGCTGCTCAGCTCCGCTCAGCTGTGTGACAAAGCAAAGAGAGAGCCTGGGCTAACGTCCAGGGGACCGTGTGAGCTACGAGGAGAGGCTGAGGGAGTTGGGTTTGTTCAGGCTGCAGAAGGGAAGAGTGAGGGGGGATCTGAGAGCAGCCTGCAACTCCCTGAAGGGGGGTTCCAGAGAGGCTGGCGAGAGGCTGTTCTCAGTGGTGACGGGTGGCAGAACAAGGAGCAATGGGCTCAAGTTGCAGTGCTGGGTTCCCTAGGCGGGTGGGGAAGCGCTGGGCTGGGTTCCCTAGGGCGGGGGTGGAGTCTCCATCCCTAGAGGTGTTTAAGTCCCAGCTTGACAAAGCCCTGGCCGGGTTGATTGAGTTGGGATTGGTCCTGCCTAGAGCAGGGGGCTGGACTCGATGACTCCTGAGGTCTCTTCCAGCTCTCTGGTTCTATGGTTCTATGACCTACAGCTGCAGACACAGTTCCCAGCTGTCTCCTAGGTGGGGGTCGGGGTTCTGGCCTTGCAAAGAGCCTTTTCCCAAATCAGTTCATCAGGTTCCTTCCAGCATCAGGCTGATCCAGGTGGGAACTGGAGACCTCAGCTTTGTGGCTCAACTATTCCCTGAGCAAACTGAGGGGGGCTGAGCTCACAGGGCCAACTAATGGCTCATCGTCTTGGTTTTGAAAGAAGACCTGCTATTTCCAATGGACCCCTCGGTGATTCGCTCCATGGATTAGCATGAGGCCACTGCCCGTCTCTGGCCATTTCCAGGCAGTTTCTTGCACACTTCAAAGTGGAATGAAGACAGTGATATTACTGACCCCACAGCTCACTCCACTGTGAAGATTAGCTTTCGCTCTCTGAATTAAGAGAATAACCTCACACTAAATATGTGAAAGCACACACTCATTACACACACACTCATTGCACACACACACAAATACACACACATTGCACACACACACACAAACACACTCATTGCACACACACACTCATTGCACACACACACACACACACACACACTCATTGCCTAGTAGGTCTCTTAAGGTTGAATCTGGATTAGCCTGCTAGTGCTTACCCTCTTCTGGACCCATATCCCTCCCCTTTCTAGCCCACTAGACCGGGGTGGTCAATAGTTATTAATGGGGGCACTCCAAGATTTGGGTAAGTGGCCACGGGTTGAACTTTTCCACGGAGGGGGTGCAGAGTCTGGGATGGCGGCTGGGTGCAGAAGGGAGCTCAGGGTACGGGACCGGGGTGCAGCAGAGGCTGTGGGGTCTGAGAGGGAGGTTGCATGAAGGAGGGGTTATCAATGGGGCAGGGGATTTGGGGGCAGGCTCCGGGAGGGGATATGGTTGCAGGAGAGGAGTCTGGCCTGGCGGGAGCTATACGAGGGGTTGCAGGGACTGGGTGGGAGTTGTGACCTGGAAAAGGGCGAGAAGGGGCTGCAGGGGATTTGGGGGGTGGCCCGGGGGCAGGTAGTAGAGGGGAGAGAGGGGGTGCTGTGCCAGAAGCAGGCTCTGGTTGGAAGGTGCTTAGCTAGGCAGCTCCCAGCCGGCAGCCCTGCAGGAACCTGAGCCAGGCGCCACGCCTGTGAGCTGGGCTGGCTGCTCCAGCAAGGAGAGGGCGGGAAGCTTCCCATGGTGCCCCTGTCGCCAGCAAAATTTCTCAGCTCCTCCTATTGGCTGGAAACTGGCCAACGGGAGCAGAGGGGTTGTTTTTAGGGGCAAGGCACTGCAGGAAGCTTCCTCCTCCCTCTCCAGAGCAATTAGCAGCCGGGCATTTAAAGAGGCATCCGCTGCTCTGTAGAAAGGGGCCTGGTGAGGCAGCCCTGGCCAGATCCAGGGGCTTGGAGGGCAGGATCCGGCCTGCTGGCTGCAGCTTGCCCTGCACTACTCCCAAAGCAGGGGCAGAACCCAGGAGTGCAGGCTCCCCGCCCTTTCAGCTCCAGCTCATTGACCCAATTGCACTCAGAGCAGGGAGCGGGGTGGGAGCCCAGCAGGGGGCGCTGTGCTGCAGGGAGCAAGGCGGGGGCCCAGCAGGGGGCGCTGTGCTGCAGGTGGGGGCCCAGCAGGGAGTGTTGTGAGCAGGGAGCGGGGTGGGCTCTAGTATAAGTTGCTGGAGATCTCTCTTCTCAGATGCAGGGAGAGCCATAGAAGCCTGGAGACTTCTGGGCTGTGTTGGCCTGTGGAACTCCCTGCCGCTAGATTGTCATGACTGAAGACTCTCTCTGTTTCTCTCCCTCTAGGGAGGGTCAAAGCCCAACAGCAGCTTTGGGTGAGGGGTGCCCCTCATCACACCAGCCATGGCCACAGCCAGGGTTTTCATCCCTCTCCTCCTCCTTGTGCTTGTGCCTGGGGTCTCTCCCTTCTGCCGCACAGGCACGGCTCAGGAGTGCAGGAGGAGCGTGGCCTTTGTGCCTGGGCACAGCCTGGTACGGGAGGGCATCGACGTCACCACGCTGGGCTGGACGGGGAACTACCTGGTGGACACCAGCCTGTGGCGCGGCCCCAACGGCACCTGCACCTTGTGCCGGAACCCGCTGCAGGGGGGGCAGCTGCAGAGGGCGCCGCTGGCCGTGACGGACTGGAAGGTGAATATCTTGTGCAACCGGGAGCTCAGCACCTCGGTGCAGGAGTCGGCCGTGGCCGTGGCCCGGGCAATGGCGTCCGATGTGAACAACGACTGGAAGGTGGAACTGGAGCTACCGGGGGAGTCCATGGGCCGGGCCCTGGAGGGGACCCGATCCGAGCTCTCCGGCTTCGCCTACGAGAAGGAGCAGCAGGACAAGTTCATGTTTGTGCTCCACGAGCTGCCCTGTGGGTATTACAGGTGAGAATCCCCTGAATGTCCCCCCGGCCCCGCTCCCTGCAGCACAGCGCCCCCTGCTGGGCCCCCGCCCTGCTCCCTTCAGCACAGCGCCCCCTGCTGGGCCCCCGCCCT